AGCGATTGGTCAGAAATACAGAAAATGTTAAGATGATTGGTCAGATTTGCGACCGATGAGTGATTTTAGTTTTAATAGTTCCGACTTCCTGGAGGGAAAAACATATCCAACCATCAATTTGTAAATACGTAAATCCATCCCACCATCAATCTTTTTCTCCATTCATCAGTTTGTTCATCCATCTGGAAATTCAAGTCTGGAAAAATGTTACATTTTGGCACAAATGTGTCGCAGTTGTTGATCCTAACCTCCTTTCTTTTTTCCATGTTGTGAAACTTGCTGGCTACATGGCAGGTGCTTCACCTTCTTTATTCATTCTCTCTTTGTTTTGTTTTCCTCCATTCAGGCCCTCGACCTCCATCTGATCCACACGGCATCTACTCTGAAAGCAAACACGTCCCAGGCATGGGTGTGTGTTCTGAAAGCTTTAACGTCACATCGTTTATGTTTGCTTTAAATCTGTTGAGACTCGGTTGTTCATCTTTCAGACATGATGGGCCCAAGAAGCTCCTCTCCCGCCAACCCAGACGGATCTGTAAGTCATTTGTTATTCAGATGTAACAACTACATTTCTTCTCCGTTTGCACATAAAAGGCTCCTAAAGAAGTTTCAGCTGTGAATGTCCTTGTTCCAAAACAGACTGAAGTGATAGATCCACAGATAAAAACAGAAAGTCAGGCTGTGGCTTCCACAGAGAGTCCAGAGCCAGTGAGTATAAAGGTTCAGTCCAGGTGTTTGGTGTGAAGGTGAATGCAAGCACGCCAACTCCTCCTCCTCCTCCTCTCTAACACTGGGTTTAGGAACGGGAGGAGAATAAAGGAATTGGTTTTCTTTTTGGGTCATTCAAAGATTTCCTTTTTCTAAGTTTGTGGTTTCACTCACGGATGATGCACCAAATTGCGCTCGATGTTTCAAAGGGTTTCTGATTGATCCAGATGATGGTTTGTGGTAACTGGTCATGTGATTGAGCAACAGCTGACTGCACCTCTTGTTCGTGGATATAACTGTGGATCTCTTTTCTGCACGACTAACGTTTTACTCTGTCTGATCTCGCTGGAAGTTTCTCACTGCACACATTAGATGTCGTTTTTCCTCCCGTCGTTTACAGGGACCTGGATCCTTCATGACCTCTCCAATCAGAGACTCGCCCGGATCGATGGTCCAAAGGCCTCCTCCAGGCCCGGGATCACATGACCCTTTTCTCCCTCCTGGACCCAACGTCCGTCTCCCTCCACCCGGGCCTTACGGGCATCCCAGACCAGGGCCGTACCCACTCCCACCAGGCCCTCTTCCTCCAAACGTCCCCCCACTCCACGGCCCTCCTCTGCCGGCCAACGGACACCCAGGTATGCCCCTGCCTGGACCCATGGGCGGGGAGTTTGGCCCTCGACCTGCCAACGGACACTTATTCCAACCCAGACTGGGCCCTGATCCAAGAGGCCCGCCACCACCACACTTCCGTCCCCCTCCACCGCATAATTTTGGACCGATGCCTCCACTGCTCGGTAGGTTTACACATTACTTCATCTTTTAGCACTTAGCTTTTTTTCTAAAGGGGGTGGAAACAACGGACGGCACATACTAGGAATGCTAACAATTTATTGATTAATGGTACCATTAGATTAAAATTTGTTTCAATCAAAATTAACATTTTGCAGGTTTTTATATTTCTAAAAACAACCCAAGTGCTTAAAAAAAGCCACCTGGTCAGTTTTTGGTGTCTGAAAAATGAGCCGTTTCACTGATTAAGTCACAATCCACATGCACTGTGCCGTTACTTAGCAACCCCAGCTGAGCGTAGCCCGTCACCTAGAAGCCCACGCGAAGATCCAGGACATTTTGTCAGTTTGCTTTACCGCTGTATGCGTTCTACAGTGGCTGCTGGAAAAGACAGAAACCACTTGTTGATTGTGCAGAAGGCTCTACTCATGCTTTTCAAAGATGTACGGTTTTATAACTGCGTATCTGGCAATCGTCCCATCTGGAAAGCCAGATCAGATTAAATGCAAACGAGAAACTGTGGGAAGATCTCCTTCCAGTCTGACTGAGCATCTCAACTTTTGTAAACAAGGAAAAAAAAAATGTCTGTAGCTGGTTGAAGCAGATTCTTCCATAAAACCTCCACCTCATTTTTCAGATTTTATTTGCAAAACCATTTAAAAATTTAATTGAACAAGGTATTGAGTTTTTTAACATGTTTCTTTATGCTGTAGTTATACAACTATGGTAATTGAGTGAGTTACCGACACTCTGAAGTATAAAAAATATAAAGTTTTTTTCATGTCTCTCATTTCTCTGCTGTTCCTCTTTTTTATTTTTTTTTTCCTCCCTCGTTCTGTCCATACAGGTGTTCGTGGACCTTTGGGGCCCCGTCCACTCACCCCTCATGACATGCGCTTCCCAGGACCGAGAGACCACATCAGCCCGCCCATGGACCTGCCGCCGGGCGTGCCGCCACCTGGACGCCCGCCCCTTCCTGCACATCCTGGTCAGGGGCCGCCCGGTAACCTCCAGAACTCAGCGGGCCCCCAGAGCGGCCCCGCCCCAGACACGCACCAGAAGCAGGAGGCTCCTCAGGATTCAGTCAGACCTGGAATGGTCTAGCCTTAAAACGCTAAGGAACGGAGCTGAACGCAGCTTCACTGTAGTAACATGATAACAAATCAAGTCCAAACATTAGGTCATGATGGCTTTCAGTTTTCTGTCATACAAAATTGCAATGATGTTTATTAAAATATAAGGTCTTTAAAAAAAAACATAATCAGAAATTATGCGTCTGAAATTTATGAGTTAAGAACTTTTCTTTGCAGGTTATTGTGCAAGACAAGTTGTGTTGATCTTTTTAAAAATAAGTGATTTAGAGGGACATATTTTTTAATGTTTCCTGTGGAAATTATTAAAAAAAAAAAAAGCAAGAGACATGAGGTTTTAGTTATAACATTTCAGGAATCCCTTTTTCTTCCCCAAACATGTCGATTCATTGCAAACCGTATAAAGGAAATGTGTAAATCGATGGCCAGATGTATAACTTATTTTACTATGTTGGCTAGAACTTTTAATAATAAAGAATGGAAACTCTGTCCGTGTTGTCAATCAGTGAAGTAAATACACTTTTCTGGGTTCAAGAGGACTTTGATCGCAAAATACATTTTCAAAGAACTGCAATTACAAACTGCCTCGGTTATAGTTTATTATAAATCAAAAATAATTGTAAATGTTTGAACAAAAAAATTGCAAACAGTTCCCGATGCACGTTTACAGTTAATCCATCAGTCTTACAGTTTGTTTGTCCTCGTTTTAGTGATGTTACAAAAATAAAGTCTACAGATTTTAACCACGTACATGTGACAGAAAGTGAAGTTAAATAGCATTACAAAGTAATGGATTATGTTTGAACAATTCTGTTCTTCATCCACGTGAAGAGATGCATCTTATCACAGCTTCATTTAACCTTCAGATTTAAGTAAAACTGCACAAACAAAACCACTGGATTAAAAAAAACAATACTTTTTCTGCTTTACAATGTTTTAAGCATTTGATTTCTCAGACGTAGAACTGAACTGAATCCATCTTGAAGCTTTAATGCTGAATTAAGAAAATTTCTCATTTACATACCTCTTTTCACGTTTCGCTTTGCAAATTAACTAAAAAAAAATATCGCATTGTATGTTTAAAATATATTAAACCACAACAATCTGAACAAATAGTTTGGGTTTGTTGTTCAAAACAAGATATTTTTTTAGGATTCAGAGACAACGTTTGGTATTTCTGTGAGGCAGATTTCAATGTTTTAAACACCTTAGAACTTAAACATAAATGAACTGTAGAATCTGAAGAACTGGAGCACAATTAGTGGATCCTGTTTCCGAATTACTTCCAGTAAAAACATGTGAGAAAGTATTTGCCCCCTGAGTAGATACTGAACTTTTTTTTTTCTAATTTTTCATTTATTAATGGGAGAAAACTTTCCAAAGCAGAAAATCCCCCCAGTTGTGACTGTGACCAGTTATTTTGACTACATTTTACTGACCGCACCCAAACCTGACACCCATAAAAAAAAAACCTTAACAGAACCAAACAACATGAAGTAGGCTAAAAGTTTTCAAATGACAAATAACATCCTGAACTAAATAAACTCCAGGACAGATGTGAAACAAAGTCCTTTACATCTGTCCGATAACGGTTAATAATTTCAAACTCTTTGGGCCACAGTGATATTTGCTCGTTACCAAATATCTCTAACCCTTGGTTAGTTAATTTGGAAATATGTTGTTCCTTTCATAAAATAAAAGCCTCCTTTTCAAAAAATTCATTTTTTTTCTATTCTGAAAGGGGAGAAATACTTTTTCACAGCATCATACTGTTAATATAATGAAAAGTTTTATAATCTTAGGTGTTTATCTCCGTTTGAGAAGTTAAAAATACCAACATATTGTGGAGTTTCATACAATTCTAGTATGCTACAGCAAATCCTGACAGATAAGGACAGTTTTGCACACTTCTGGCAGCTTTTATGTTCTAATTATTTAAGGGAATTGTGCCAAACCTGCTAAAACTCTTGACAGTTTCGCAAACCTCTGTTGTTGCCGACTCCGTGTAAACCCAGCAGTGTGTCTTCAGTGGCATCAATCCCGATTAAATGCCTCAGTTTAAACCCTTTTTCCAGACATATGCTGCAGCAGCAGTCAAAGAACAAACGCTAAATCGAACAAACTACTGTAAATATTCCAGGAAGCAGATTAAAGTTTTCCCAAAACAGTGGTTGGATTAAGGAGTTAATGATTTGCTGGGTTTTTGTTTTTTTTTTGTTTTTAAGTCCAGAGTTTTGTGACGTAACAAAACAAACCAGAAGTACCTGCAGTGTCTCCATATGAAAAGAAAAACCAGAGAGCTACATGTGGAAGACTGAACATGGGGCGTCTTAAACTGCTTTAAAATGTTTCTGCTGGTTTAAAGTATATTAACGGGACTCCCTGTAACAGAAAACAAAAAAAATGCACTTAAATTCATAAAATCCGAGCGAGGAGATCGGATCCTTTTACTTTCTTCACACCTCAGCCTTCATTTGGTATTGCTGAATGTGGCGATGAGGAGGAACACCACGTTTCCCTGGATATGCAGTGAGATTAATCGGCGAGTCGGGGCTTAGCTGTCCTTGTGTAGCGTCTGATGGAGGTGAAGATAAAGTGGCTTCTTTGTGAGCAGCTGCAGTTTCTTCCTCTTAAAGTCCGTTGGCTTCTTGTACCTGAAAAACGTTGAAGTCGTGATCGCTCTCTGGAAAGTTAAAAAAAAAAAAAAAAAAAAAAAAAAACGAGTGGAAAAGAAAGCCAAACTCACAGTTCAATGACAATCGGTCCGGGTTTGATCTCGTCCATTTCCATGAAGCCGAAGCATTTTGTGCTGGTGAACCTCTTTTTGGGCTTGTAGTGCTTGAATTCAAAGAAGATAGCTGCTCCTGCGGGAAATTAGAGCTTTATATCAATGAAATCAGTACAGGAGGTTTAGAAGAAGTCCGTTAAAACATTCATCCAACCTCAGAGAATTTATACAACATTAAATTAAACACAAGCTTTCCCTGTTAACTGACTTCTAAAGTAAATTGATTGGACTGGAAGGTTAATACACTAAAGATTTTAATGCCGCAGCCATAAGGTTACATAAAAAAGAAATAATAAATAGTATTTTTTTTATCATAATTTGAATAATTATCACACCACTAACACAAAATATTCCATATCACCCATTTCTACAATCACGGCTCTGAATTTCTATGTCAACATTGGTCCCAGGCGATGAACCCAAAAAAAAAAAAAAAAAAAAAAAAACCGCCACTGAATCAGCTGCAAATAGCAAATGGACACGACGATGACAGTCGTTACCTTTTGGTAATTTCTCTACATGCCTCTGAATTTCTACGTCCACACTGAAGTGAATGTACGTGTCTTCCTTCCTGGTGGCCACAGGCGTGTCCTGCATCGGGTTCAGATCAACTCCGTTCACATCTGACGGCAGAACACACACACACACACACACACACACACACACACACACACACACACAGAGACAAACGGATGTTTTCAGGACCGGAAGACGGTTCACTTTCAAAGCCCCAGAGAGGTTTCCTTGAGTTAAACAAGATGCCGGCTGAATCCTTTACCTTTGACGCTGATGCTCATGTACGGGTCGATGCACTGGCCGGCGTCCTTCAACCCAATTTTCTCTATCCTTAGTGTGAGTAGCGTCATCCCGGGTTCTGACGGTAACCGTGGCAACAGAGTACCTGTAACATAAGATGTGACGCAAGGTTTTCCGATACAAAAGAGTGACTAAGCTGTGCTTGTGGAGGCTTGAAGGTTGTGTTTAAGTTTTCATTTTAAAATAATTCTTTTTATCGATGTCATGAATAATTCCAGTTAAGGATGTTTAAAGCCCCCCAAAGCCGTCTGCATTGTCAGGATTGTTAGCTTTGCTATTTTCTCCATTGTTTGTTCAGTTTCTCTGCGAGAAATCGTACCGGGAGCAGCTCTCGGTGGGAATGTTTCTGTCGATACTGCTCCAGCAGCAGCATCGTCCTCTGCCTCCAGCTCCAAGTTCTCCTCCTCACCCGGAGCCAAGATTTTCCTAACGAAGAGTAGGAAAAAAAAAAAAAGCTTCAAATCGGAAAATAAAGAAATCCAAAATATTTCAGCGAATAGATAAAGCATTCAGTGATGGAAACTCACCTTAATGGCACTGGCTGGACATCGAAGGGAAACTCTTTGTTATAGGTGAGTATGTTCTTGATTACTGTTGAGAAAAGGGAATCGATGGCCACATTTTAACAGCTGCTCTTATAAATTAGAAGTCATCCACATTCAGTCACTCACTGAGCTCCAGTTTCTTCAGGTCTTCTAACTTGAACTCCTCCTTTGACTGAGTGCACTGGAGAAAAAAAACAGACAAAATATTATATAATATTCTGAAGAACATGGCTAACTTGTGCCAGTGCAGAAACTTGTAGTGACAAGTTAGCTAGAGTCGATCAAAAGATGAACTTAGCTGAATGCCCTAGTCAAAGTAATGAACCAAATCAAATTCAGAGTTTCTGGCAAGACTTGAAAATTAACATTCACAGATGTGCTTCATCCAAGCTCAATAAGCTTGAGCGGTTTTGCAGATAATTGTTATTTTAACATAAAAAAATAGGAGAAAGTTCAAGGTGTGTGCAATAAAGTATGTAAAGATGTTTTTTTTATTTGCTTCCTTAGAAGAAATCAGGAATAAAAAAATACTTCCATACGAAAAAATAATATTGTTATTCCATCATTTAAGGCATGTAGAAGTGCCGGTCTCTTTGCATGTCAGGTAACTGCAAAATTCAACCCCATGCTACATAAATATCCACAATGCGATCTCTACATAAGTCCTGTTAAACATTTTTAACAGGTCTACATCCTCATTTGCACACATATGTGTCACTTCTGAGCGACAGATAAAAAAAAATGGGAGGAAACTAACTGTTGCTGCAGAGATAAGAAAGAAAAAAAACACTTTGCGTAACTGAGCATGCTCAGGGATTCAGCCCACCAGACACCAACATGTGGATTGTGATACTCTTTAGTACAATATCAATATATAATGTTAAACAGATGAAGCACTTGAAAACTACCAAAAAAAAATTTATATATATATATATATATATATATATATATATATATATATATATATATTTTTTTTTTTTTTTTTTTTTTTTTTAAAAAATTGCCCACAATTTTTTTTGCAGCGAGGGGAAAAAACACCCACAAACTGGCGC